GAGGGGAAGGGAGGGTGGGCTGGGGCTGTCCGGCCGCTGGTAGCTGTGATGCTGAGGCGAAAGGGCGCTCCCTCAGCGCCGGCCTCTCCCTCCACCACGCCTGGGTGTTAGCGAAGGGAGACCAGCAGCCTGCCCCGGCTGCTGGGCCTGCAGCTCCCTCCTCCCGTGGCCTGCCCCTGCACCCCAACCGCACGCCTGGCAAGCGTGTGCCCACCCCTGCCCCCGTGTCTGTCACCGAAGGGTGCCCATGGCGGGGCTGCCCAGGGCTGGGTGGGCATGCCCGCTGGGCAGTGGCGCAGACCGGTGTCGAGCAGGGCTTCTTGTCCAGAATGACTTGTCCCTGAGGGAGTGAGAGGGAAGCCCTGCACAAGCGTAGGCTATCTAGCACTGTCTGGGATTTTCAGGCACCTGGTACCTGTGCAGAAAGGTTGTCTGCCTGCTGGAGGGCACTTGCTGGTCATCAATATTAAGCCAGCTCTTTCACACATTGCTTTGCCGAAAACACTGTCTTTGTGTTACAACCCTATTTCCCACTAATTCCCTTCCCAGGGCTGAAACTTGTTGTCCTTTTGGTCCAGTATAGCTTTGCGGGCTTGTGCTTTAAACAGGGTTGCTAAATTTAAATCTCCTTTTTCCCCCCATGCTCTTAACTTCCCAAAAGAGTGAGGTGTATTTTTAACCTGGATAGGTTTAGGGATTTAGCTTACAAACTGGAAGGAACCAAGGAAGAGTGGTTGGGGGAGGGAGTGGGCAAGTGTTCTAAGGCCTAACAATTATATTGATGCTGTTAAAGCCCTGCATTATTAAGCTGTAACCAGTGAAAACAGAAAGTGGTCATTGCGACCAAGAAGATAGGTTACTGTTGCCTTTCTACATCAAATAGTAATACTTCTTCCCAGAGAAAAGCCTGTGATACTAACTTAAAATTATACCTTCGTCAGTGGCTTTGCTCTCCTCGAATTAGGGACACAGGGCAACAGATCTGTTTAGTGTTGCTCACTCTTATCTCTGAAGTAAATTAGTACTTTTGTTTGCTCAATAGGTGACAGTGGAGAAAAAGCTATACTGATTATTGTCTGAAACCATAGCTGAAGGAAGGTATATATAGATGTGAACATTTTCTTAAGTAGCCCTTTTTGTTTTCCTCGCTTAGGACACTCATTCCTATCCTGGAAAAACTTCCTCCGTTGTGTTAGTGCAGTTTTTGTTAGAGGTACCAAGTGAACTAGCTTAGGAAACTTAAGAGAAGTCCTCCTTTCTTGTTTGGTTTTGATTTGGTTTTTTGCCCAGGTTATTTTATTTGTGTTCAGTTCTCCAGTGTGGCCTATCATGCAATACTTGAAGCAATTCTACCACTCTTCAAACACCAACCATTTCAGAGAGAAGGGAGACACTTCCCCAGAGAGAAATACCAAGTAATTCTGCTCTTTATGTACAAGGGTGGATCCAAACCACTCCAACTCGTACATATAAGTTATTTGCACAGAAATGTCACTGTGATTTATTGAAAAACGCATGATTCTTTATTCCGCTAGACACAAGCGTTCTTTATTTCTTAGCAATCCTGTAACCTCTTTCTTTTTGTAGAACAGCACAGCAGCTGACAAACTCTCCCTTTCCTGGTGGTTCAGTTCATAGACTGCACAAACATTTCCACAGATATTACTCGAGAACAATATAGGCTGTTAATTTAAAATTCATACTGGACATTACTGAAACACTGCATCAGTGTCATAGTAAATTAGCTCTAGGGCTTGTAATATTGCATATTTTAATAGTCCCGTGGTTCAAAACACTGTTCTGGTATAAATTTATTCCTTAAAAGATGGGAGGGGGGTCGGCGGCGGCTTGCTGCAAATGAACTTTATGCTGAATGGGATATCATCTTGCTTCCTGCAGCTGACACAAGCCAGAATAAACTTTTTCTTTTGTACTCTGGCTAATATAACAAATACATAGTCACTGACCCAGCGTTTATTCTGCTCTGATTAATACACTTGGGTGAGCGTGTTAATGGTCATCAGACAACAGCCTGAGAAACTACATGCGTGGATACTATTACATTGGAATAAGAGGTGGGGATTTTCCCTGTTTTATTTTAAGTCACAGCTTCATCAGCTCTATTTAGAGGTAAACCCCAAGAGAGGAGAGATTCATTTATCTGCACTGCTTTTTATGATGATGCAATTTGCTTGTGGTATTAAAGCCTGACCTTTACATATCCCTTTGCTGCTTTTACTGTTTTTTGTTACCTCCTGCAGCAAGCTGACACCTGTTGTAATGTGCTAACATTGTTCGTTGTTTCTTTTTCAGCAAGGGGCAGATTCTGTCAGGTAACCGATCCCATTCCAACACCGAAAAATCTATTAAAAATTGTTATAGTCTTCTGAGAAGAATGAGTTGCTGTAAATCCTGGCATAGCAGCTTTGCAGAAGTGAGCTGCTTTATGAGAGTCAAATGACAAAACATGGGGAGCTTCTTAAAAATAATTTTATTAGAACAATTTTTAGTGATAGTGAAGACATACAAAATTCACCGAGTGAAAACCCAAGGAGAACTGAAAAATTGAAATGTGTATACCTCATAAAAAATACCTCTTTATGCTGTTAGAAATTTCTAGCAAGCTGTAGAAACAGATTTTTGACATCATGTAAGAAATGAGAGGTAACGTAAAATTTGGTTGCATTTCACCTCAATTTGTAAAACTTTCTCGTATGTCCATGAAATGAAGCGGGGCAGAACTTAAGTTACAGAACACAGATGGTCCAGTTTCTTGCTGCTGTGTAACCTGTCTGAAGCAGGTTGTTCTGTTTTTTGGCAGAGCTTGCATGCTTTTGTGGCAATAAAATGGTTGAAATTGTCTGGCTTATCCTTTCGTAATGCGCCTGACTGCATGTTTCTCATGTGCAGGCAGGAGAATAGTTTTGACAGCTGAGGACGCTGACAGGGTCATGTCCGTTCTTGCTGCGAATACTGGAAAATGAGAAAAGAAGTGCAACTGTACCTAGCCCAGTTCTACTGGGTAAGGAAAGCAGATTTAAATTTGCTTTGATATTAAGTATGATGTAATGATTAAGAAAGGGCAGTGACACATTCAAAGTATCTTAAATGGTAAGTTTTCCCTTGTAAGGTAGCTTGCTGTATCTCTCATCAGACTGTAAAAAGTAAGTAGCAGAATTAAGCAGTTAGTACTTTGGTTATTTTCCTCTATTACTCTTATGGACCATGAAGCTGTTTTAAAATCATTAACTATTTTGATGTTATGTGTTGTAATTTTAGGAAACCCTCACCAAAGACTGAGTGAGACCATCTGACAACAGTATGGCAAATCTGACTGTAGGGCATGTGGTACTGGGTCAGAAATGTCATTGTAAAGTTCTGATCCCACCTAATGGTGTTTTCCTCGTTCAGATTTGCTTTTGACAGGTTAGTTTTGTGGCAGGTTACATGCCATCAGGTTACAGAACAGTTAATTATTTGCCCAAGCCATACAAAGTGTGAAAATGTAAACCCAGTAAAGAAAAAAGCAGTTTATCTGCCTGCTTCTGATTAAACTTGTACAGCTGGATGGTTTTGTCCTTCACAGATGAGGAGCAATATTTACGGAACCCACGTCCAAGGTTTCAGCCCCTTATTACAAGATGCCTTGATCTAATCAGCTGCAGCCGATACAGCCCCATTTTTGCAAACTGTTCTGTGTGACAGGTGCCTGCACCCACACGTCGGTGTCACTGCAGTTCTGCAGGAGCGCAGGATCTGCCCATACAAAATAACTCCTCCTCCTCCGTTTTTGTTTTCTGTGGCGCCTACGGCTTGGGCAGTGTATGAAGTGCTCTGTAAGAAGCGTGGGGAAAGGAAAGAGTAACGTTAAAGTGTTGTCAGGAACAAAATGCTGATGTTAGCTGGCAGTGCGCGTTGCCTGTGTTCTTTGTTTGCAGTGGATGGAAGGGAACTTTGTAATGGTAAGCAGATAACTTTCAGTAGGAGAATAGGGCCTCAATTCTGCAAGTATTTAGTGTTGACTTAAATGCCACTGTTCAAGTGTTGACTTTTTACCCGTGTGCGTAAGCTTTCCTAGGACTTAGGGCTGCAGTTACGCTGCAGTTTTGAAAGCTGTGCTGTGAACTGAACTGTCTTTGTTGTATACTAGTTTTGTTGTTAAACTTCCTAAGTGTCTTAGAACACAACTATGTTTGAAACCCAGTTTAGAAAAATACTTCTATGTTTTACTCTGATCTTTAAAAGATTTATTTGAGTCTGAAGATACTTGCTGTACATCTGGTTTCTCTTTGGCTTTCCCAGTCTTGGGTCTCCCGGTTTCAGAATTCATATATTGGTGCTGTCTGCTTTCTCTTAGGTATACAAAAACATGTTTTCATACTCCACAGGTGCTCCGTCCCCACAATTGCCTTAAGTTGGGCATCCACTATAAACTTGCATGTTTTTAGTACCTCACACAATGGATTTGCTTTGTTCTCTTCTGCATAGCCTTTTTTTTTTTCATTCCCCCCTCTCTCTTTTGGGGAGTTGGTGCAGGTCAGCTTTTTGTGTCTGTTTCATGACAGTTTTGATACTGGTGCTGTAAGAGCAGCCTCTGCTGCAGCTTTTGCTACTTGCAATGTCTTTGAGTTTTCCCTGTTTCAGATTTTGCAGACCAGCACCTTTCAGGATAATTTACTCTTTTCATTGCTTATTGGTTCTTATTGTATTACTTGTCTAAAGGAGTTTTGGTGGCATAAAGTGTATGAAGACACTATGACCATAGCAGTTCTTTGTTTGGCAAAGGGCAAAAATACGTTGGTGGTAGTTTTATGTCTCTGGAAATCACAAATTTCTTTTTCCACAGGGTGAAAATATGGTAACCTACAGACTGTTCCTAACAGAAGAAAGAAAACTCTAACTGCTAACAAATGGTGCTTGTCAGAATGAAATTCCTACAACTACTGTCCAGGAAACCAGGGAAACTGGGAATGCTTTTTGAAATACCTTTTTGCCAAAAGCAATTCCCGTGTATGTGTCTGGCTACCTCCACATGTCTTTATAGTAAGAAGAAAAAAGTGAACGGTTATGAACAAGTTGACCAAGAAAAATACAAGAACTTGGTCTACTCTGTTACATCTTACAAAACCAGCGCCCAAACCCCAGAGACAATATTTGAAGAAGACAATATGTTATATGGGCCACCAGATAAACACAGACCTGGAGTTAAAGCTGAAACAAAAACTCCCAAGAACTGGGTTCCTTTAATAAACCCCAACAAGAGAATCCCCCTTCTCAACAGTGATTCAAACCTCCCCATGAAAATCACTTTACAAAAGACAAAAATGCCCAGCGTTACCCATATTCTTCAGCAGACTGTTTCTCCACAGCAAGCCTTTTATCTAGAAAGATGGAAGCAGAAAATGATACTGGAACTTGGAAAAGATGGTTTTGCAGAGTATACTAAAAGTAAGTCTGACCATGGTGTGATTGCAAAGTAGAAGCGATAGTCTGGATAGCTGGCTGGGGCGTGCTAGCGCCGCTGCAGTATCTGGCCCTACAGGTCAAGTGTTTTGGAAATCCGTAAAGTTATTTCCATTTCAAGGGGTGAGAGCCTATTATGAGCACACCTGTTATCAATGAATCTAAGCTCTGATCTTTGTTCTAGGACCGCTGAAATGGATTCAGAAACACGTGGGAAACTAGAATAAGGCCGTAGACATTCTTTGCTGTACCCTGTCTGCCTCTCCCTTGTTTCTCTGTTTGCTAATATCTATTTACAAGTAGATATTTTCCAGCTGATGTTATTGAGTCTGTTTGCAGATACACAGCTACTTCGTAACAAGATAGAAATAAGCATCCTGAAGTCGTATCATCTCAAGTGTTTAAAAACCTGTGTGTCTTGCTGTTCATGTTGAAGTTTATTCAGTATATATAGCCTCTCCTATGAAATTGCCATGCATTTAGAGGTTTTAATTTCATAAAACCTGTGAAGGTGACTTCCTTCAAGCTGTAGGACTGAAGGCGACCTGGGAGAACTGGAGGACAGTAGGTAGCCTCTTGTAGCAAGGCTGATAAATACCCAAGCGCTCCTTACTTGAATTATTATGTATTTTAAAACTGAATATCCTGTGTTTATGCTTTTTGAGTTACTAAGTGCTTCATTGAATAAGGTGGCCTAACACACCTTACATAACTATTTAAAATTTGTCTGTCTTGGAATCATGTCTGAGATAAGCCCTTACTCCTAGAACTATGCCCACCCACCCATTTCAGGAGGAGATTAGTTCCATTCAAATGAACCAATACAGCAGAAGAAGCAAATGCATCGAAAGCAGCTTACAATAATATTTTTAATTCATAGAAATTCACAAATACCTTTGAATAAACAATAAATTCAAAATCATATCTTGTTTCTGAGTCATTAGCAAGACCACAAAAGTAAACATTAATATAAGAGATACTAATTTCACTGTTAACACTCAATTTATTTTTGTCTCATTCCCTTCTCCCCACATTCTCAAGCTGTCAGTACAAAACACAGGACTGGTTTAAGAGCTATGGTGTGTAATATCTAGAATACAAGTCCATTGGGTGTTATGAGTACTGTCTAAAATGTGGTGTTTTTTTCACATTTTTCTTAGATCTTTTCCTCCAAGGAGAGCTCTTTCATACAGCTTTGGAATCTATATTCCTGTCTGAAGAGGTGGCAACTAAGGAGCAGAGAGAAGATGTTGCTATTTCTGGCTACTTATCGAGCGTGCAACATGTCTTAAAAGATATCAGTGCAGTGAAAGCTCTGGAAAGTGCAGTTCAGCATGAGACTCTTCAGTATCTGGGCCTGGTAGACTGCGTGGCTAAGTATCGGTGAGGTACTGGTTCTCTAAGACGCCTGATAATGCCAGTGGTGCGTGGTGCTCTGTGGCACGTGGGAGGCTGTGTCCCAGGCTGGAGCAAGTGTGTTGGTGGGCTGTTGGGGGGGAAGCTGAACAGATGTCTAAGACCAGCAAAACGGATGAACTCACCTGGATGAACTTGATGACAGAAGTGATCTTGTTTCCTGTGGAGAATTTCTTACTGGAGCACGGTATGAGCAGGGCAGGGTTCAGTGATCCTCAGCAGTTGCCAGGAACTGCAGCAGGTATTAGTTGAGTCTTGATTTTTGAGATCTGACTACCAGTGTGGAAAAGACTTGCTTAGACGTAATAATGAGCAACATGACATCAGGGTGAAAGAGGCTGAGAGTGGTATGACTTCCTTTGCTGTCTCATCCCTTAAGTCTTACTTAAGACTAAACTTAAGTTCAAAACATTGTCCTATCTTGTTCTTTTATGCAGAGGCCAGTTGTGTGTGATTGACTGGAAAACTTCAGAGAAACCAAAGCCGTCCCTGAAGAATACTTTTGACAACCCATTACAGGTTGCAGCGTATATGGGAGCCATAAATCATGATGCCAATTATGACTTCCAGGTCAGTAGGCCTGCTACCTGCCAAGACAAGCAGCAGCGCCCACATTATTTTTATTTCTCCCCACCTTTATCACCTGCTGTCCATCTTGGAACCGTCGGTAGGATTTGTAACAAAGCAGCCCAATCTTAGATCAGGTTAAGCTGACGTGCTGTGAAATAAATCCACTACTCTTGCTACACCTGCTGCCTTTGCCTGTCAGCAGGTTTTAAGGAACTGCTCGGTGGGGCCAAGGGATGCTCAGCATCTTAGGAGGTCAGACGAACTCACAGTGACTTGGCATCTGGGCAACCCTCAGTGCTTTGTTCTGTGTGGTTTTTGCTTGTGTCAAGAGTAGGAAGGGGGAGGAGAAGTAGTAAAGCAAAAGAGCCTGCAAACAAGGAAACGAGGTGGGAGGGCTTTGTCGTATCCTGTGTTGCTATATCCCACTACCAAATGAGAGACTAAACGATTTACTTAGCATGGTTGGAAGCTGTACGGTGTTTCCTCAGAGGAAAGCAGTGTGTTGTCAATCACTTAATCAGAAGACAGTGGAATCGTGTTTTTAAAGACTCCAAACATAATTCTAGCCAGGCCTGCTTGGCCTGAAGGATTGTTATTTCAATATAAAGCATTGAAGGGAGGAAATGCAAAGCAGAAGAGAGCAGAGTGATTCATAGGCTGTGCAGAGGACTTTCTAGAATACCAGTAAACACAAGCACTTAACAGACATGGTCCTTACAAAGCGAAATATATGCAGTAGTTCTAGAATTCTGCTGTTAGCATCCTGTCCCCTGCCATTTTCTCTTCACACCAGTGGCTGTTTGGGGGTTGGATTAGATGTTTGTCGAGCATGAAAGATGACAGAACATGCCAAAGTAACCGTTTCCGTTCAGACCAATGCTGGAGAATGGCCAGGCGAATGAGAATGAGAATGACCCCAGGCAAAACCTCATCAGTCACTGGGAATTCTACCAGAATTTACAAGGTTCAAATAGACCCTATTGCTCTGATACTCAGAGTTCGAGTCCTCTGGTTTTCACCACAGTCAGTCAGAGCTTTGACCCTGACTGGGTCTTTGGAGTGTTTGAATGTCAGTCTCCAAGTATTTTGTGGTGAATTATTGCTCTTTTTTTTTTTTTTCCCCGTTTCTTACTTAAGGTACTTATATGTTAAGAAGACATTTTGCAGTGAAGTTCAGTTTTCAGAATGGCTGATTGAAGTTGCATATTAATGTTGAATTTCTGACTGCCTTCTGTTTTTAACTGTAGGTTAGTTGTGGACTCATTGTGGTTGCCTACAAGAACGGCTCCCCTGCGCATCCGCATTTCATGGATCCTGATCTGTGCTCGCGGTACTGGAATAAGTGGCTTTTGCGCCTTGAAGAGTACATGGACAGAAACTGACCCAAACCAAGCTATGCAGAGGCAAGTGGTCTGAGCACCAAGCCCAAGCAAGAATCCTTTGTTTAAATCTGCCATTGTAATGCATATTCTTTTTTGAGTAACTTTGGCTAATTTCTTTATATCAGGGGGGTTTTTTCCCCTAAGAAAACAGCTAGGAAATTTGCAATGAGGAATGTGTATTTGCTTACTTTGTAGGTGACTTAAGTGGACCAAGTGAACTTAATTAATCTCTCTTTTTCCCCACGCAGTTTATACAACCTGAGGTTGATAGGAAAGTTTCTATTATGAAGTAAAACAGCTCAATCAAATCATCCTTCTTTTGTCGTTTTTGAGGAAAAAACAGCTGCAGAACTGAGGCTTTGAAAATGAAGTCGGTGAACTAAAGCAAACGACATCTGTGTTGTCTGAGCTGAGAAATGCAAACGATAAACAAATTAATATAGCAGGCCAGGTTTCAGTCAGCTTAGTTCTTGCTCATCTCAAAGGTATCTCTTAACAGGCTTGCTACTATTGGTGGTTTTTCTTACGGCAACAACTGGAAAAACTGCGCTAAAAATTATAACCAAAGTTCTTACAAGCACCCCTTTAAAATACTAAGGCAAAGTAATCATTTAACAGAAGTGACTTAGCCAAAGAGCAGCAGAATTGTAACCATGCACTTAGAAATTTCCAGCAAGTGCTCTGAAAGGTAGGAGGTTTGACTACTAGTGGCTCCTCCTGCAGGCTTGTTAACGGGCTGTGCGTCCCACAGAGCAGAACTGTGAGAGCGTGGGCGGGCTTTGTGCCTGAGGTTGTGGGGCTCTGTGCAGGCCGAGTCTGCAAGTGCCTTGAGCTCTCCTGAGTGCTGTGGGGCTGAGCCAACAAGGAGCCTGCCCATGTGGAACGATCTCCAGTGTCAGGTTATAGTGTTCGCCAGTGCGAGTAAGTTTCTTTATAAAAGCAGACTTGTGATTGGAAGCCAGGCCTTCTGAGGAATCAAGAGCTGCTGATTGTTTCTGGGGGGAGTTGTGGGGTTTTTGGAGGGACAGGGGGGGCTGTTTACCTAAGTTTGTGAATAAATGTTCTGAAACTTTTGAAGCTTGTTTTGTAAAATCCAGTCTGTAAGACACAGCATAAGCCTTGATGATGTCAGGTGGTACCGCTCTGGGTGTTACATACCTAGAAGGCTTTTTTCCTCCTTCTCTTTCTTTTCTCTGAATTGTATGTGTGAGTTTTCATAATACCACTGCAGATTACAAATAAAATACCAACCTATAAGCTTCAAGAAAATCAGCCAGAACCACACCTAAAAAACCCAATGGGCAGTCTTGCTGCTGCTGACTTTAAACCTCTGTAGTGTTTAGTCTTCTGCTCCTGCAGAGTACTGAGCTGTGGAAACCTGTTATAGTGGTACTTGCTTATTCAAACTTGGTCTGGTGATGTTACGATGACTCTGTGCTTAATTAGATTTCTATCTAAAAAGACAAGCCATGGAGACTGAGAAACTGGGTTCAGAGATGACTAACCACGACGACGCTGTGTGAGCGCTCAGAAGTTTTACCTGTTTCACAAGTATCTTCCCACATCACAGAATTTTAGCAAGTGGGTGGTTCGATGTCACTGAACAGGGTCAATTTTCTCTGAAAGATAGCTCTGTGGATACAAAGAGGGTGGGCATAAGCAAGAGGTAAGAATGCCCTGGGCAGAAGCAGGTGATAAAACAAGCTGAATTCCCTGGGGTGGCTGGGTTTGGATAAATCAAGAGAGTGTGGAAGCGTTGGGCAATGTTTGGGTGCGATTGCCTTCATCAGTGCATCGTACAGCCATTGGATGTCTCTGAGCCATTTAGGATTTCGGCCTCATCCTGCCTCCTAGTAAATAAGGGCAGGTCTGGAGCCTGGGCAGCGCAGGCACCTGTTGGCCTCACCTGTGTTCATTTGTTTAACAAAAGCCTTGTGTCTGAGGAAGGCTGCCAGCTTCACTGGCAATGTCAGTTTGTAAACCTCTCTTTAAGTCTGGGCTGAGTCTGTGCCATGGGGAAGGCAGGAGAAGGCAGACAGCCTTCAAAGACGGTAGTGGTGGCAGTTACTGGTGTCTAGCGCTTCTGAAAGTCCAGCCGCCTCGGGCGTCCCTGAGTGAGCTCTGGAACGTTTCTGTAGAGGCACAAGCTAGTGCCAGTTTTATCCCATAACAGAACTGGCAGATGGCTGTCACCAGCGTCATGCAGACTCAAACCCACTTTGTGACCAGTTTAAACTAACTTGCCAGACTGTTAAATTGACATGCCCAAGGCTCCTGCTACAGGCAGTATCTGTTCCTCTGCAGAAAAACGAGCCAGACAAACAGGGCAGTTGCTCCAGCTACAACGTCCAGCTTGTCAGAGCTTTGCTCTCCATCCAGAGTGGGTTTTCATCTGTGTACTGTTAACCTGCTGCTTTTCTCCGTTGCTGTGAACGCTTTGACTGAGATCATGTAGATGGACCACCTTGCTGTGTCTGTAGCTCCTGCGGCAGGGACGTGCTTTGGCAATGACACGGGAGGGAAATCAAGAGCAACATGTGCTACAGGAGTTGGGGGAAAAACCCCACGCGTGCACACACGTACACGCACAAAATGTGTCTCCAGCCAGATAGGGAGGGTTTCAGCCGTACCTCCGCTGCTCCTGGGTAAGGGCTGAGGTTTCAGCAGAGCTAAGCACGCAAATCCTTTGCAGTTAGGCAAACCGTAGTCACTGTGCTGAGATGGGCTGTGCTGAACAGTCCCACCTGGGAGCTGAACTCAACAGTTTCACTGGGCGGGTTACAGGGGAGTGTTGCCAGCACAATGGGCTGAACCAGCTGTTAAGTGAGCAACCTTCCATTTATACTGTTCAGTTATAAAGGCACGATCTCAAATAAACTGGGGATCAGTGCGTAAGCTTTAGCTCCTTTTCCAAAGTAAGGATCTTCTAATTTACCTCAGATGCTTTTTTTCCATGGACTTTCCATTTATTGAAGTATTCCGTGACCTTTCCCGTGACATAGGATGACAAGTTTGTTCTTTACACAGTAGCATCACTTTATTATCCTCATTTTCAAGGTCCCAAGCACCAAAAGTTGTGCTGAATAAAGTATTAATGTCATCAGAAATGCTTTAAAACCCCTAGAAGCTTTTCCCCACAAAAACCCAAGCAGATGCCTGTACAAAACTGAGGCAAATTGAGATTTTTATGATTCTTGCAGAGATGCTCAAAATATGTCATTTTAGTAGTAATGACTACGAAGGTCCTGGTTATGAGACTGTATTTTAGCTGGGTTGCTTTTCAGCTCTTGTTTCAACATACACAGAATACAGCATATCCTCCCCAAATGTACAGCTTTATTTTGAGCACGAAATGGATTTTTGGAGTGTACAAACAAAATCCATTAGTTGTTATGCATTAAAATTGATGTAAAACCTGTTTAGCAGCCGTGTCCATTAAGTTAAGAGACAGATGACTGTCATGGGCTTGGACCAGAGTGCCTGTGGTTGCTGAGGAAGTTACCACCCCACCCTGTCACTCCTCATACAGACACCCAACTGCCCAGTAAGGCTGCAGCAGCTTCCCAAGAGTCTTAAAGTGCCAGGTGGTTTCAGCAACGCGAGTTTTATGGGCACACCTCTCCCCTTGTTTTTAAAATCCCTAAATTCACACTCAGTAGGCCCTGTAGGCTGCCCTCTCGGTTATCCAGGGTCAACAGGAGCTGGAGCACGACTACAGGGGAAATCCAGAAGCAGAGGGATGTAGTACTAGTCTCTCATCAGCAGCGCTACCTCCTTCCCTTGTAGCAATCAGTCTCACTAGGAGCCTTCTAAATGGACAGGGGTTACAGGTGAGAGGCCAGATTCTTGCCTGATCCCTCGAGGCACAGAGGCAAAGTCTCCCTTTTCACTGCATTACACTGCTCTGTTGTGTTAGTGAACAGGCACTTGGTCATTAAAAAAGAAAAAAGTCCCCAAACAAACACACACACACCATAAAGTACACACAAAATTGCATTTCATCATGACAGAAAATACATATCTTCAAGTCATTAAAGTGTTTTCTTTGGGTTTCTGGGTTGATATTGATGTATGTTAAAAGGACGTGGTAATAATCCCCAAAGTGAGCGTGACAAGTCCAGGAACATCAGAGTTAAGGTTACACTTAAATCTAAACATGATAAAAGTAAGTTCACAGCTTCAAGTACCTAAAACATGACCATAAGTCTGCCCTGGAATAATGTCATTGGCTAGTAGAGAAGGTTTGGGAGGAAAAAGTTCTGCATCCTTTAAAAAAATTTCAGCTCACCTTGGATCACGCTTCGGTAAATTGTTAGTGCACTTCACAGGGAGCAGAGTTAAGAGTATTTGCGCATTTTAACTTATTTACCAATACAATGTACTCCTGTTCTTAAGACCATTTTAATTCATTTTGCATAGAACAATGTACTAGTAGCTGCTCTTACATGGCACTTTTCACCCAAACCTCTCTAAAGTAGTTCGTGTGGGAGGTAACGGTTATTGTCTCTACAAAATACACTGGGGAAAGGTGAACTTCTTTGTCAGCGGCCACTCGGAGGTATGGTAGAGCTGAAACAGAAAACAGGTTGTCTGAACGTCCGTTCAGTAAACGCTCCATCCAAGAGGTGACAGCCTCTTCCAGGCTTTCCTTTTTTTTTTTTTTTTGGGCCAGATGAAAAAGTCCAATGTTTGCATTGTGTATGGAAATATTTCTTTCAAGTTGAGGTTCTACCAACATCAAGCGAGTCCCATTAACAAAAGCATCCCTTTCATTTCAGGGATTTCTTTCAAAATTGTTTTTAAAAAAAATAATATATATATATATATATATGGTCCTACATGTAAACTTCTTTCCTTTAGACCACTGTAATCCACCGTGTTACTCATCTTTGTCGTCATCTTTGGAGTTCCTCTGCAGGACAGGGCTCAGTTTGTTTTGCAAAACCGCTGCAAGTTTTTTTGAGGTTTTTTTCAGGAAAGCGCTTCCGGGGTGAACATTGCTAACGTGCAGGTACAGGTCCTCCTGCGTGGGGCCTGTGTAGCCGCAGTCTTCGCACACGTACAGTTTATCTCGCCTCTGTTTGTAGGCGTATTGCTGCTGCACGCCGTGAATCTTCTTGAGGTGGGACTCCAGGGAGCAGCGCTGGGTGAAGGCTTTGTTGCAAACCTCGCATTTGTAAGGGCGAATTCCTGCAACGTTAAAGGCAGCAATTACCAATCTGATTTATGTTTCTTACAGCCCACTGAGGCACCGGCTAAGAGCAAGGCTCTGGCTTACCAGCTATTGAGCAAATACCTAGCAGCAGGGAGCTACTAGCCTGAGGAACTATCTGTCTAAATGAAACATCTTACTTTCGGGCTAAAATTTTCAGTAATGTGTTGACATATTTAGGCATAGAAAACCTAGAAACATCTTGAGAAGATGTAAGCAGACGCTGAGGATAATGGGTGCCCATCGGCGCTTTCATCCTAGAGAAGAAGCCGTTAGCAACTCTGGCAAAACTTACTCCGTTAGACCCCGGACTTTTTGAAGTCCTGCGATGAGGTCAAACGATTGGTTTCCGCTAAGCTTTCATTTTGGCTTTTATAATGAATGAAATCTTGTATCTCGGTAAGATGTTAATTTTTCTATTTCAGTGAGAAAACCTAACGAGGCTTCAGTGAAGAGCAGCCCAACGTGAACACAGGACGATCACAGTACTCAAAGGAGTGAGAGGATTTTTGTAGAATATAGATTGGATGATTGAGATCACAAGCTCAAGTTCTAGAAGAGCAGTGCAGTAAGGTGAAAGAAAGACGTGTGTATGCTTCAGACATTAAACTGCTTTTGGGAGAGAAACTCCAGATCGTCGTTAGAATTCACACGCAAAAACGTATCTTTTACAAGCAGTGTTTTGGGTGCACTTTCCTGCTCATCTGAAGGCAAGTTAAACCTTCACAGTCCTGGGTTCCTGCTGCCGACAGTGCTCCACAGGCATGAATACACACATGAGGGGGGTAGTGCCAGGACGGCACAGCCACCTCTTCATTGCTTAGGAATCATTTAAAAATGGTATTTTACTGTGTATATTAGTTTCTTTTTAATGTTTTAAGTCTGCTTATACCATGAAACTAGACCGGGACATTTGGCTTTCACTCTCTTTGGCACCACCCTGCTGTTGCAGGGCCTGGTTACAAGCACTGCACGACAATTTCCACTGGAGCACTGACATTCAGTAAAGCACATGTAGGTGAGCACCCGTAGGTACAAAATAAAGCCCACGCTACCGCTTCCAGCCTGTTTGTCTTCTTTTTAACATTCAGATATAGTCCAGCTTTCCTGAACAGCAATCAGCTTTGACATAAAAAAGGCGATGGCTTTCAGAGATGCTGCAGCCAGCCTTCATCCCTGCCATGACCCGAGGCACCACGCAAATACAATGCATGTGAGTGTGCACTGGAGAGGAGAAAGAACGATGCCAGATTTCGTCTAGTAAATTTTGGGGACAATCTAACCATAAGATTCACATTTCCAGGGCAGTGGGTTTTCACTCCTGTCCAGAACAAAGATCCTTCTTCCCTTCCAGAGTTTCACAAAATTGGCTCCACTCCTGCATAGTGAGTTTAACCGCACCTGCTACAGCATGTATATATATATATATACACACACATATATATATTTAGCTGCCGAACAGAGACCCTCTTGGATTTAGTTTCTGAATGTCAAAGAATGAGGAGACAGGTTGAAAAATCCTTTCTTTCAGAAGCACCGACTGCACTTCAGCCATACCCCAGCAGCAGCTCCCTGCTCACAGCCAGCAGCTTTCCTTTCCACATGAAAGCTTTGCAAACAAACCAAAACAGCCAAAACATTGGCTCTGGCCAATGCTTTCCCAGCGAAACGGGTGGCATTGTTTTCGTGAGCTCTCCTGCTAAGGAACACCTCCTACCTACCAACATACTTGTGTCACCTCTAGCAGTTCGCCTGGTTAATGGTGCCTAAGCCAAAAAAGGGGCATTGGCAGAGCGAGCCAAATAATTGGCAGGTAACCACAAATCTGGGAAGCTGGAACATGCCTGGGAGATGGGGTGGATGCATCTTCCGGGTGCCCTGCGGTGCAAAGTCAAAGCTTCCTGAGCAAAGCCAGCTTGGCCTGGCAGAAAGCACCTCCCTTGGTGAGGATGGGGTTGATGTGTATTGAAGCCATCGCTTCCACTAAGAAAGAGAAACAAAAAGGCGGCCTTCTCCCTGCTCCAGGTTAGGACAGGCACTTCTGTGACCGGTGAGCTGGGTTTGAAGCAACCGATCCGTTTCAAAGAAACACAACCACCACTATTTGGGGTGGGCTCCGGAACCAATTTCACTGCAGAACGGCCGCAGAAAGTGCATCCCTCCAGCCCGGGGGAGCGATACGGGAGCAAGAATGAGCAGAGCAGGGAAAGGGATGATTTTTGTTTCTTCCAGTGCCATCATGGGCTTAAATCACAGCACCCTCAGTGGTGCCTGTACACCTGGTGCAGATGCAAGCAGGGAGGAGGGAACTAGCCCAGATTAAAGGCAACATCTTTAACCCCTGCCCCCAATCCAGAGGAGGAACCACTGTCAGATTTTCAACCCACTGCTCCTGATTTCCAACCGGTGCTGTGACCCGCACAGCAAGTGAGTAGAGATGGTTTAGGCCAAACTGATCTGCATGGCCGGACTTAGAGGAAAAGGGCTCCGAGAGGGTACTGGAGGACCTGGCAGCCCAAAGCAGGCAGGGATGCAGCGCACAGGGTTAGCAGAAGTCAGATATGTTGCCTGGTTTCCCTAAATAAGCTGGAGGCACAGCATGAACCACACTCTGGGTTCTCCATAAGGTGCCAAAATCGATCCATAACCCCAGCCCACGGGATGGCCAGCGGCGAAGCTTTGCAACAGCAAAAAAACCCAAGAAACTGCTGCTCATTGCCTCTAGAGGGCAAAGCATTTTCATCCACCGCCTGCCTCCGCTCACCGGTACACACTGGACTTGCAATAACATGCGGCGAGTTATCCCGAGTGGGTTATCCCAGGTGGGTTATCCTGGTCTCGCTGACCCTGGCACAGCAGCACACAGCTACATCTACATTGGATCTGGATGGCAGCTCATGCACCCGCACTGCTTCACACGGATTTCATTAGTTCTCCTCAGACTTCATGGGTCCCAGGGCTTTTACCTGTCCACACTCACGTCTTTCCTCCACTGCATCCCCGCTATTTTTTGCGGATGTTGTTGACGTGGGTTTTGCATCATTGTCTTGCCGGGTTACCCTCACCCTCTCCTCATCCTTGTCCCACCTCACCCCTTCTCCCACCTCCCGCTACCCAGAGCCGCCCGTGAGCCCTCGGGGAACGTGTTCTCACCGGTATGGGTCCGGACATGTCTTTTTAAATCAAAGGTGTCATTGAAGCCTTTTCCACAGAAGGTGCACAAGTGTCTCTTCACCTGGCTGTGACACTTGATGTGACGGTTGAGCATCCGCTGCAAGCGAAAGCCTTTCCCGCACAGCTCGCAGCTATGCACCGTAGCATCGTTACAGGTGCCAGTGGTGAACTAAGGAATGGAAGAGGACTGGGTGAATAGGGTTCGAGATGACAAAAAACAACAGAAAACAAGCAAAATAAGGAGGGATGGCTTAATATGGCATTAAAAAATTCTTAGGCTATATTCAAAATGAAAAGTGAAAGCATTCGGGAGATTCTTGCTGGGTGAAACCTTCATGCTTCCCTTGCAATCAAGTGGGTGACTTAAGGTGCATGGTTTGAGGCTGATGCAACGCTGGCCAGCTTGACTTCAGGGGTAAAACAAAGCACAGCGTGTGTAGTGGTTACCTTCCAGAGGCAGCGACAACCCTCGTCCAGCTACATCTGTAAGCACACGGGCTTAAGCTATGAGCACCTCTCTGTGGGGCACCGTGTGTCTTTGCTCCTGCACTCTACTAGTAGCCTGGATGGAGACGGGAGGCGCTCCTTGGCGTGAGAAAGTCATACCCATGCGGTGCCTCTGCTAATCACGCTTCCAGCTGCTATGGGTCCCTCAAAAACCAGCTGGCGGTGAAAAAAAAGGGTAGGTTTGGTGAGATAAACCAAAGGCACATTGTGCTGACTCAGCAGAGACTGAAACAATGGCACTAATCTCCTCCCGTTGGTCTCCTTGGCTTATTAATTAATGGCAGAGTGTCATTAAGGGTTAATCTCCTCATCCCTGCTCCTAACACCAAAAATATTGTGCCAACACCATGACCTAACTTGACTAAGGGAGACACTGATGATTCAGCTCTTGAGAAGAGCATTCCTGAGAGGGAAGGCTTAATGTCTGGAAGATGCAAATACTTTGTTATTAGTTTAATTATTTACGGGGGAGTGGACGTGCACACCACTAGCCTCTCGGGACAGGGGAAAGCCAGCAAAAGTGGGTGGCACTGTGCGGATACATCCATCGGCTCTCGTGGCGCTTTTGGGGAGTTCCTGTGGCATGCTGAGAAAACCCAACTCTACCGAAACAAGGTTTCACTGCTAATAACCCAGGTTAAATTATACAAAGTAGGTTAAAGTCAAACAGCAGTGGGGCAAGCCCTTCACAAACAGAGGAATATGTTTGGGATTTCTTTTTCCTGAAGAGCCAGTTATTTGTCCCGATCCTTCCCCTTCGCTTATTACTGAAGCAATGCTACCTGAAATTGTAAAGAAAGATTTAAAAAAAAAAAAGCAGCTATGAAACCACGAGGTGTGAAACTAGAGGGGGAGCTGGCTGGGAAGTATCTGTTGGGCAACAGGTAGGATACCTCACGCGGCCACATATAACCAGGACGAAAATCTAGTGTTAATCAACAGGTTAATAACATGGTGGCTGAAAGGCTGCCGTCCCAGCAGAGACAGTGGGAATTTTTACAGCTCCATCCAGCAAAGCAGCAGCCAGGGTTTAATGAGGTGTTAACTAGCCACCGATAAACACTTCTCCTCCTTCCTAGCACTGGGGTGGCCTGACTCCACCTCTGATGAAGGGAACCCTGAATGTTCAGAGATGGACGTGGTCCTCCCACCTCATCTGCATTACCACTGGGCTTTGGGAGCTCGGTCTTGGGTTCTTGGGTACCACAAGGAGCCCGTGACCAATTTGCCTTCTCAGCCTTGGGAGGGAAATCACCGCTCTGCTCTGGTTAGCTCTGCCTGGGGGACACCCAGACAGCAAGAGCTCCTGCCCGTGCAGCAGAGAAGCTCTTCAGCAAAGTTAATGGCTTCATTTCACCCAAGCCTGTGGGTCTATCTCAAGGTGGCAGTGGCCTTTCACAGCTTTGGAGGAGGATCTTTTCCTAGCTGCTATCTCGATAAGTCAAGAGGGTAGAGGGGGCAGCAGGAAGATTCACCACAGCCCCCCTTGGCGAAGGCTTGATTACAATCTAGGAGGCAGCCTTTTAAGGAGGCCCCTCGTTAAGGAACGAGATCCACCCACACACCATGGGGCATGACTCCCAGCTGCCAGGGCTGGTCCTTCCTGGCTAGGTTCTGAGCTCCTGCGGGACCCGAGCCAAGCAGGTCAGGGGCAGCATGTCCCAGGCAGGGATAAGGGAAGGCAAAGGGCAATGGAAGATTACGGTACATCGCTTACGAGGCTTGCCCTGCCACCACCATCCTCCGGCCAGCCGCTCTCAAGGGCCTCCATCACGGGCTGTGGGACGGATGCTGTCACCTCTAGCAGAGGGAGCCCAAGGGATCATTGTCACCTGGTGTCCCTGGCCGGCAGCCGGGCCCTGCCCTTGCAGTGGGGTCACCCCATCACCGGGGAAGCAGATGGCGGGGCAGCGGGCGGTTACCTTGATTTTCGACCTGACCACGGGGCGCTTGACGGCCAGGTCCAGCAGCATCCCCCCGGCCGTGCCCAAGTCGCCGGGGGCGGG